TTTGGGTGTGCAGTGTCCTGACACTATTCATAAGTTGGACAAGATTGACATAGCGAGCGAGGAAGTGGAAATGCCAACTTTGCTGCGTCAGAGATTTTACAAATTGCTGCGGTAATAAAAGTGACACAGGGTTCTCTACCTGACTCTTCAGGTGATGATTGGATTGGGGCTTTTGTGGTGAGCCAAGCATATATCCATGTGAGCATCTATTCACTTAGAATGGGACAAATTGGGAAATCCCACAAGTCCATGGTGTGGTCTTGCTAGATGCCATAGTCTGTAAGAAACCAGTTTGTGGGAAACCAGGAATGCAGCTCATACAGCAACCATACTTCTTTTTTCCTACATAGAGACTCTATATGGAATGAAACATGTTTTGTAACTATACTGTTGAAATATAAAGAGATAAAATGATGCAGCAGAGGTGCGAATCCTTTTACCTGTTAGCTTAACCTTCTGTTGATATTGATAGTCCACTACTTCATAATCAGTAAACTAAGAACATGATGCCGCCTGAAACTAGCCTTATGCTGAGTTCCTATAACATTGAGAGAGCCATAAGACAAGTCTCCAATGAAACAAACAGAACCTCTGCCCACCGGCAAAGCAGGATATCTTCTCTCATAGTGATGGCACTTTCCAAAATTTTGTGCAACTTTGCAGTGATTTTAAATGAGTAAATCAGAAAAAAAACAAAAAGCTTGTGGTTCATATGTTTAAATAAAAGCAGGCACATTATTATTATTATTATTATAGCATTTGTGATAAACAACATAGTGACATTGTCTCTCTTTATAAAGTGTGCATGCTAACTCAGCCCTCAATTTAATATTTTTGGAGAAGCTTTTTTGACATTATTTTGGAAAAGAAAATAGTTTTAACATTTTTCCTAAAAATATTAACTTATTTGAAAATCTTCTCCAAAAATATTAAATAGAGGCCTTACATTGATACAGCATACAGTGATATACAAGGACCTTCTCGTGGATTTATTTTTGTCCATGCTCCTCTGGTTGAGAACATGTAACGATGAATGCTAAGCAGAAAAATGAATTATTAAATTATTATTAACATGTAAGGGTCGGTTTAGCAAGCCTCAAATTCACTCATGTCCATAGAAGCCCAACTGTATTGAAAACTCAGATTTTACTATTTACTGAATCCGTTTTGGGTGTACAAATTAGAATGAGGCAATTTCTTATCAAGTTAAATGCATTTACTTAATGATTTTGATTAAAATAGATTAATTGACATTTATTCAGAATAAAAAAAAAAGTGATATAGAAATTGCAACTGAAATGTACACAAATAATATGTAAATCTGGCTGCATGTTTGGGAGTTTCAATTCACAATTTTTAACTCAATAAAGAGAACACACAATATATATATATATAAAGAACTTTCTGGCTGTGTAAAAATTTAATAAAAAGATAAAAACAATAAGTCCCAAGGGAGTGCATACCTGTAAATAGGTAGACCAGCATGTGAAAGGCGATAGCTAACAGGACAAATAACGCATTGAGGTGTTCCACAAACTGTGTCCAGAACCCCATCATTTATACTTAAAAAAAAAATAAAAAATGAAGTTTAGGGCCTGGGTGCCTTAAATATATGTCCTGGTCTGACCAAGATTGGTGGTAGTTAACTGGGCTGCAGTTGATATTTACAACTGCTGTCCTTAATTCACCCTCTCTACTTTAGCGATATACCAGGAAAGTTGCTGGGGAAAGAATTGCACTAACTTTGTCTCCCCATCCCATCCTGGTATATCAGCTTTCGGAGAGGGACTAAATGAATAGCTGCCTTGGATTGTAACTCCCATTAATCTTGGGTAGCAGGTGCTGTCCTGAAATACTTCACTACACACCGTATTGCTTGAGATGAGCTGTTATTAATTCAGTTCCTCGTCCTGAAACTGGTATGCTGGGAGAGATGCTGGGAAGACAGAGAGAGAGAGCAACCAACATGTTACAAATTAATGCTATCTCTCAATCGTTCATAAATGTTTGGTCTCATGATTCCTAATAATGTCTTCAGAAATTATATTCCCGTAATACATGCTTCGCCACTATGTGTCCTACATACCAGGCTGAGGTTGATGGGAGCTCTCCCCTTACTCAGACGAGACACGAGCATCGGAGAAATAGATATATAGAATTATTACTTTACTGAGAGGGTAGTGGATGCATGGAATAGCCTTCCAGCTGAAGTGGTAGAGATTAACACAGTAAAGGAGTTTAAGCATGCATGGGATAGGCATAAGGCTATCCTAACTATAAGATAAGGCTAGGGACTAATGAAAGTATTTAGAAAATTGGGCAGACTAGATGGGCCGAATGGTTCTTATCTGCCATCACATTCTATGTTTCTATATCATCAATGTTAGCATAAAAAAAAATGAATAATAAAAAATGATTATATTAAAAGATACATAACAGGGTGGAAAATAATGCCACCTTCAGTATAGTAGTTTATTAAATGTAGGAATTCCCAAGTGAGACTATTTTTACATAATCCAAGGTTGATTGTTATTTATCACTTTTCTCTCTCTCTCTATCAAAGAGATTTTAAATATTTGTTTAATATTGCAGGTGCTACAATTGTTTACATAATTTTTTTTTTAACATCAATCTCAATACTCGTAACGAGAAAGCAACAAAAAAAAGATTTTGACATAAACGCAAGTAAAAACTGAAATATCACAACAGCATAAGTATTCAGACCCTTAATCCAGTACTTATTTAAAGCACCTTTGGCAGCGATTACAGCCTCAAGTGTTTTGATGTGACAGGCTTTGCCTGCCTGGATTTGGGTAGTTTCTGCTATTTATTTCAGCAGATCCTCTCAAGCTCTGTCAGTTTGGATGGGGACCATATGTGGACAGCCATTTTATGAGGCTTCTCCAGTGATATTCTGTGGGATCAGGTCCGGATATTTAAAGAGTCGTCCCAAAGCTACTCTTGCTTTGTCTTGGCTGTGTGCTTAGGGTTAGTGTACTGAAGGTCCTGAGTTCTCTGGACTAGGTTTTCATTAAGGATATCTCTGTATCTTGCTATGTTCAGATTTACTAATCCTGTCTCTGAGCAGTTGTGTAAATCTCTCAATGCTGCCGACCTCTCTGCTGCCCGTGATGTCATCCAAGAGGCAAGGTCTCCTCCGGCAATGAGTCAATCCATAGAGGAACATTGGCATAAGCGCTGCACTCACATCCAAACCTCCACATAGGAATTTTATTCAATACTTTCTTATGAGCTTCCATGTCGCGGCACCACGTTTTACTCGGTCAGCAGAAGTGCTTCTAGTGGCTGTCAGGAAGACAACCACTTGAAGTGGATTTAAAATACGCCCAGACCAGTTTATTGAGATGAAGAGGTCTGAGTGATTTTAGTGTCACTTTAATGTGATAGCCCTTATTCCCCACACACATCAGATGACACTTGATGGTGGGACAATGACCAAGTTTCATAGGACAAGGTGGTCTTTTATACACAGACGCCCAGGAGGGGTTCTCCATTGTTCACATAGGTAGTCACTCCCTGGCATCTCTGTGTCTGGGAAACAATTGGGTCACCTCTCCCTGAATCAATTATCTTATATTAAAATAAAAAAATACATTAGTAAAACAGCCCCTGTGTGGCAAACCTAGCCACTTACAGAGTATTATGTATATATATGCCTGATGGTTGTTTCCATTGTGTCTCTATTCATGAGAAACTTAACCCCTGTTAAATTTATCTGTATGTAAAGATTTCACCTAATGTTCCTATGCATTCGTGTGTTACAGCACATGAATACCGCTAACACGCTGTTTCAAGTTTCACGAACAGTGGATTCCAACCCTGTTCGTGAAACGAACAAAAGACCGAATGGGAGACCACCCCAGAAGGTCGTGTGCCGCTCGTTAGTAAAACCGAAACATTGTATCCATCCGTTAATGAGCGTTCTGTGTGTGGCCGCCGTTCGTGTACCGAACACATGGCGGCGGCCATATTTGCTTTGTTAGAGTTCAGCGGTGTTTGGTCGTCGAGTGCCTGGAACCGAAATCGGCTACTTGATTTCCAAACACCGCGGTCGAGAAACTCTCTCTTTTGGGAAAATAAAACCATTCTTGAGTTTTCTCTGCTAAAACCCTGTTCGTGTAAATGTCTATTGCGAGCCGCATTCGGTTGTTTCTGCAGGGATCAGAGTGGTACTTCGGTATATTGTACCGATCGATCCCTGCAATCTAATGAGGGGTCATTCGGTAAAATATGTGGTGAATTGCCAAAGTTAGTGAAATGTTACTTTTTCCTGTGCCTGTTAGTAATGTAATTATCTGTGCCTGCTGACGTCATCTAGGTCCCTTACAGTAAGGAATGCTGGGAAATGACCTTGCATGGTCAGTTTCCCACACAGTCCCCATGATTAAAATCCTTGCTGGAACAGTTCAGAAACCCCTTGCATGGGGAACCATATAAATTGGGTCACTTCTCAATAAAGCCCTCAGTTGACCTCCAAGCTATGTGTCGTCTCGTTCTTGGGAGAAAGGGATTGTAACTATGCTACCTGCATTTTGCCTACTTTTTACCTGCTTCACTCTGTCTACCAGCAGAGATACCGTGGTTTATACTACTACTCCGCTACACCCCGAACCCCCACATGCAATATATTGTTGGAAAGGTCTGATCTGAGCAAAAGAGCACTCAGATCCATAAGGAATAGGGGAAACGCCACCAGGTTAAAGTTCTGACCGGTTGTTCACTCAATCCTGGCAGAAATGGGTTCCATAAGTTTACTGCTTGTGGCTGGTTATTTTACGGGTGTTCTGGTGCTGTGCAAAAAGGGAGCTTCCCCTGGAAGGGAGCAATTGTTCCTTAAGATCTGTTGTACCTTGAGGGGGCGGAGCCGAACGCCGACCAAGATGGCCGCGTGAGTCCCGAGCTCCGTGCATGGCGGAGAGAGCAACCGGCCCAACTTGACCACCCACCTCAAACATCCAGGCACAATCCCCGCAGGGAACATGTCCCAACACAAGGGAAAGGGGAAAGGCGACCACTCGTCTTTTTTTGCCGCGAGGAACCAGCACAAGCCGTCGGCCGACCAGGTAGGCCTCCAAGATGGCGACAATGATTCAGGGGAAAGTCAGGACTCAAGCCCCCCCCTACCCACTACACAAGAGGGAGAGGGAAAAGTCACCCCAGCTCTAATACAAAACATGCTAGATGCCCAATCAAACAAGCTGTTGGCACATTTCCAAACCTCCATATCTGACCTGAAAAAAGAAATTCAAGCCATCGGAGACAGGACAGAGCACCTAGAAAACAAATTGGAAACCCATGCGGCTGCACACAACACCATGCTCACTAAAATTAAACAACTGGAAGCACACATATCCTCACATGATAATAAACTGGCAGACCTTGAAGACAGGTCCCGCCGGAACAATCTGAGGCTCAGGGGCATCCCAGAATCTGTGGCAGTGGGGGACCTACAAGCATTTGCCACGAACCTGTTCCAGAACCTCTGTCCTGACTTACCAGCTCAAATGCTTCTCTTGGACCGCATACACAGAGTGGCCAAAGCAAGAGCAGCACCGGTATCTGCTCCCAGAGACGTGCTACTACGCGCACATTACCACCATATCAAGGAAGAGATACTCAGAGCCAGTAGAACAAACAAATCCCTAGCTGAAGTCAACAAAGACATTCAAATATTCGCTGATATATCCCCAGCAACATTAGCCACGCGGCGACTCTTCACCCCAGTGACAACCGCCCTGAGAAACCACCAAATCCAATACAGATGGGGTTTCCCCACCAAACTGATAATCATACGTAATGGACAGGCCACAGCAGTGCTCAGCCCGGAAGACGGCATACAACTCTTAAATAAATGGAATATACAGCCGGCAGAATCACCCCAAACACTTAATACCCTACCTCCTGAGTGGAAACGGGCGAAACGCTAACCGTCGCCCACAACACCCCACTGCAAACTATTGTTGCCGTTATCTACCATACTTCACAGATCTCCACAGACTTTGATTTCCTCCCCAGAGGTCCCCATGTGTGACCTGACCCACCCGCGCCATGGACCCCGCAGTCACCGCAGGCAGCTACAATCAACACCCTCGAGGCTGTGGAGAGGGCTACAGAAACATTGAGGATCTCCACTATGCCAAAACCAGTGGTATCAGGAAGGGACTATCCATCACCCAACGCTGTCACATGTCAAGATCACCTCGGGAATGATCCCAAGAGACACTTATCAACACAAGCAACCACAGACCCGTCCCGGGACTACCTTCAGTGAGAGGCATCACCCGGGACACCCGACAGACGTCCACTCAGGTTCAGTGGGACCGACTCAGTGTCTGGAGAGAAAGGGTAGTGTAAGGCCACAGGAGTTAGAGGGAGCCGGGGGCGGGGAGGGCAAACGGTAGGCCAAACACAAGCCCCAAGCATAGCACACCCACCCCTACACTGGCACTGATCTCACAACGACCAGAGACAAAAGATCACCTTCCACCACCAGGGGGCCTTTCAACCGCCCACTTGCAGCCAGGAACAAACCCTAAAAATCCCCCTCAAACAGCGTTATCCCCTGACTACTCCGACGAAATAGAGTAAATACATCTAAGGCGTGAGGACCCCAATAAGGGGGAAGCCCTATACTGGAGGACCCACATTAAGGGAAGGAGGGGATAAACACTCAAGGCCCATCACCTAGGTGGGGACGGGGAGAGGAAGTTAGAAGAGACTTAGTCTTAGCGAGCGGCCACCCTTGCAGTATCTGTCGGGATTGTTTAAGTTTAAATCCTCATGTTAGAGGAAACCAATGTGTTATAATATGTACCTGTTACAAATGTTAATTTTATATGTCAAGTTGAGGTTCATACCACAATGTCTAGAAGTGCATAGATCCGCCTGTACGGAGCGTGGACACCCGAACCCATCAAGCCTAACCTCGACCCCGAAGGGAACTGGGTGACAAGCTCAGTACAGCCGAATCCAACTCTGTTCGCCGGAGGGCGATTAATTTTAACTCAATGGGGGATAGCCTCGAGTTAATCCTGAGTGTTCGCCTATGCGACACTCGACACGACACCTTTCTTTTTCTAGCCTTTCATCTTCTTTTCTTCTTTCCTTTTTCTCCACAGGAGGTACGACGGACGAGGGGGGGTGGGAATCTCACGGATATACGGGTATGTTACTACACCACACTGTACACACACTATGCGGATAATATCACATAATGTTAAAGGGTTGAACACCCCGTCAAAACGACATGCCCTCTACAAAGAAATAAAACAACTGCAGGGCGACATCATATGTTTGCAGGAGACACACTTCCGCAAATCTGACCCATGCTGCTTCGGCATAAAACAATTCCCATACCAATTCCACTCAACTTCAGACACTAAATCCAAAGGGGTATCCACCCTTATCAGCGGCCAAGTATCTTTCTCCTTAATCAAAAAAGTAGCTGACTCTAAGGGTCGCTTCTTAACAATCATAGCTCTGATCAACGATGTTACATACACGATAGGCAACATATACGCCCCAAATGACCACCAAAGAGACTTCTTAACTAAAATCCTAGCCAAAATCGACAAACTACAACAAGGTTTCCTTATCCTAGGAGGAGATTTCAACTGTATCCAAGACCCAGTATTGGACTCATCCTCCGTCAAAACACCCACACGACTCAAAGCACTATTGAAATTAGGCAAACAACTAACCACACTTTTCCACTCCTACAATCTTTACGATGTATGGAGGACCAAACACCCCCCAGACAGAGCATACACATACTACTCATCTGTACATAACTGCTACACAAGAATAGATAGGTACTATGTAAAAGGCACACAACTAACACAGGTCTTGGAATGCGAGACTGGAAATATTGAATGGTCAGACCACGCCCCGGTCATCCTCACGATAGCAGACAAATTTGCCTTCAAAAACAAACCTCCTTGGCGACTCAATGAATCGCTCCTCCAGACCCCCCATTTCACAGAAAACATGCAGACGGAAATTGAACAATACTTTACTGCTAATGCAACGCCCACGATGTCCACAGAAACACTGTGGCAAGCCCACAAAGCTGTAGTAAGAGGCCTCTTTATAAAACAGGCTGCCCACGCAAAAAGAACCTCCCAAACCAGACTCACAGAATGGAGCAAAGAACTCCAACACTTAAATATACAAAACCAAACAAAACCCTCCAAACACCTTAAGAAACAGATACTGCAGCTCCAATCCAAAATCCAAGAGGTACACCTGCACCGCACCAGCTTCATGCTGAAAAAACTGAAACTTACCCACTACACTCAGGGCAATAGAGCCGGAAAACTACTAGCCTCCACACTGAAAGAACAACAGACTCGCTCCCGAATACCACATTTACACTCTGACACAATAGGTAAGATACTCTCCCCAGGAGACATTAGTAACGAATTCGCCTCCTTTTACACTCAGCTCTATAACATCCGGAAAGACCAGGACCAACACCACGCCACTACTGAGGAATCCACTACATACCTAGACCACATTAACACTACCACGTTGTCAGCAGACCAAAGGGAATCACTGGCCAAACCAATAACCGCAGAAGAAATTGAGCAGGTTATACAGAATCTCCCAGCCAACAAAACACCAGGCCCTGATGGACTGTCTAACATTTACTACAAAAAATTCCGTAAAAGCCTGACCCCCCACTTGCTAAAATTATTTAACGATGCAGTTCTCAGCTCCAAACTACCTCAAGACATGCTAGCGGCGACAATAATCACCCTGCCAAAACCAGGCAAACCCCCCACGCACTGTAAAAACTTCAGGCCCATATCCCTACTTAACTCAGATGCCAAAATATTTGCCAAAATAATAGCCAACAGAATGTCAGACGCTCTTACGACACTTATCCACTCAGACCAATCTGGCTTCGTAAAGGGGAGACAAGGCACAGATAACACTAGGAGAGTACTTGACATCATGCACTCCATGCAAAAACAACGAACAAAAGGGATTCTAGTATCCCTTGACGCCGAAAAGGCATTTGACCGCCTTAGCTGGAACTTCCTCAAAGCAGTGCTGAAAAAATATGGCTTCCCGGACGAATTCCTGTCCGCGGTTAAGGCACTGTATAATGTACCCACAGCGAAAGTACTATACTGAGGCTTTCTCTCCGACTCCTTCACCATCACCAATGGGACGCGGCAGGGGTGCCCGCTGTCACCCCTGCTGTACGTCCTGGCCCTCGAACCACTCGCGACCCGAATTAGGGCCCACCCTGACATACAGGGAGTTCACATAGGACGTACTGAACACAAACTCAGTTTATTCGCAGACGATGTCCTCCTGACCATCACACAACCAGACGCCTCCATCAAAGCACTCACAGAGGTTTTGAAAGAATACAGCAGGCACTCATACTACAAGTTAAACGAGGCCAAAACACAAGCCATGACAATTAACCTAGACCACAAGACGACACACAACCTCAAAACGCACTACAATTTCGACTGGAGAAATGACCATGTGGTTTATCTGGGAATAAAGCTAACAAAAAACCCGCTAGACCTAATCAAAGCCAATTACCTTAAAGTAGCCTCCGACATCCGCACAACAATGGACAATTGGAAAGGTAAATTTCTATCCTGGCTGGGCCGCATAGCGGCCTTTAAAATGATGCTGCTCCCGAAGCTGCAGTTTTTGTTCCGATCCATACCGGTGGAAGTCCCAAAGACATACTTTATCCAATTGCAAAGACACATAGACAGGTTTATTAATGACCGACGCAAATCCCGCATCCCAAAGGCCACAGCCACTAGAAAATTAGGAGAAGGGGGAATAGGCAGACCAGACATCCTAGCTTACTACATAGCCACAATACTCAGCCACACCATCGTGGCACAAGACACAAAACACCAACCACCTTGGGTGGAGATTGAGTCCTACTGGTCCCTAGCAGAAGGGGTCTCCTGTCTATTCTGGATACCTAAGCCCCTGAGACCACAAATGCACAACATGCTACCCACCACGGCCCTAATGCTGAAGACATGGGACAATAAAAAAGACATGCTCTCCTCCTGGAGCCCAATATCGTTGGCTACCCCAATCAAATGCTTCAAATACTACATTCCCACCTTCGACAGCAGGGGATGGGAGGGCAGGGGAACAGTCTTTCTACACCAAGCATGGAGCGGGGAGAACTTGATCCCTTTCCCCCAACTCAACCTGCCGCTGAGCACACCCCAAATAAGTGGCCTGTCATACCTACAGCTACAATCCCTACTAAAAACCACCAACCAAACAAAACCCCTCCACCCACCCACAATACAAAACATGACCATTATAGAAAAAATGTGCGCAGGGCTACTACCAAAGAAAAAGGTCATAACGACCTGCTACGAGGCAGTTTTGAAAGACGACAAACGCCCAAAGCCTAAATACACCACAGACTGGGAGGTAGACATAGGACGTAAAATACCTGACGCCGCCTGGTCAGGAGCCTTTAAGATACACAAAAAATACACAAAATGCAACTCCCACGTAGAACTAATAAGGAAAATAGCCACCAGATGGTACCTAACACCAGCGAGGCTAGCACACATGTTCCCAAACACCTCTGACAAATGCTGGAGATGCAACACTGACAAGGGAACAATGCTACATATCTGGTGGGATTGCCCGATAATCAAACCCTTCTGGGCAGAGATCACCAAGCTAATGGGGGAAGTACTACACAAACCAATACGGGAATCAGTGGAATTCTTCCTACTGTTCATATTCCCCGACCTCATCTCAAGACAACAAGGGACTCTGGCATTCCACATACTGATAGCAGCGAACTTGCTTATAGCTAGGAAGTGGAAATCCACCACTGCCCCCCCCATAGGCGAAGTGATACAACAGGTATCTCTCAATGGCCAGTACGAAAAAATGGCCCATGAGAGCTCTGATAGACGCAATAAAATTCTAGACACATGGGAAAAATGGAATGAATGGGTGGAAGGGAAAAACCTAAGTGATGCGGCACAGGAAGCAACAACCTGGCGGCAAAGGGGTACTGTACCCACACCATTTCAAAAGCAGAACCCATAGGGACCACCACCTCCGTCCACTCTCCCCCACCCCCCCCCACCAATCTAGAAGAACCACGATGATATCACTCGTGCCTAAAACTAATCCTCCTCTCGCTACTCCTTCGCTAGTTTCCTTTCTCTCTCTATCTCCTCTCTATAGGAGTCCTCACACCCAGCCCTAAGCTGGAACTTCCTTAAAACTCCTGGGGTCCACACAGTCGGACACACCACAGAGTACCAAAGACACATAAAGATGATGCTACCGCAGTCCTTAGAGACCTTATATGTACGGAAAGACATACGAGATAAGGGGCCAGCAACCGACAAACTAAAAGTCTAACGGGGCACGGACTAAGCTAGCTAGCGGCCCACAGAAGGCAATGAACATGCACATACAATTGCATAACTGTATAATAATGTAACGTTAATATAAAGAATGCACGCAATCAATGTAACAAAACATAGTGCTGATACACTGTTCGATTGTACTAACTAATGCGTCTTGTGCCTGTCTGGATTTCCAGAATAAAAAGAAATAAAGAATTAAAAAAAAAAAAGATCTGTTGTACCTTCCCTCCAAAAAGCGCTCTCCTGGGTGAATTAGAAGTGGGGTAAAACTAGGATGGAACTTGACCGAGAGGTGAAGCTCATGGCGGCCGAAAGGGAGTTCCATAAGATTTGTAGGTATGCCCCGCTGAAGTCTTAATGGCTTCCCCCGACTCTCTGGAACCGTTGAAGAGTAGGATGGGAAAGAGCGCTTGTAGTGGAGAGCTGATTTCCCACAGCTTAACTCCACTGGTGCATTAGAATAATTCAGGAACAAGTAGTAAATCCAATAGGGTAACAAACACAATCAGCAAGGCAATCCAATAATATCCGATCACCTTTCCCAATAACTGGACAACACACAGTATCAGGAGTAGAACTGAGGTTTAATGATCCAATCCCTGCTTTTATGTGATTCTCCCATGCAAGGGAGGCACCAACCATAATTATTATAGTAACCAATCACATAGACGTTACCTCCCACACATCTCCTCCCCTTAGCTTAACAGTTAACATAATTATAATATGCATACTTTTCCCCAATTCTTGGATGTACCCCAAATATGGTACCCCAAATATGTTTTGAAACATATTCAAAATCACCCAGATCAGACCAGGGGTTCGGGAGTTATGGGGAAGCAAAGATTTGACCAACCGCACAGGCAAAATAGCCTAAAATAGTTCCATGAGTTTTGGCCCTGCGGTCGGTCTCGTGCATAAAAAGTCCCAAAAGTATCTGCCATCCAAGGTTGAGTCAGCATTCGGATGAATCCCCTAGTTTGTGGGATTCATCCTACCGAACGACGGGCCGTTCGTGAGTTCCAGTCGGTACTTTCTGAAGCCCTGGAGGTCTTAGCGATGTTCGGTTAGTCGAGTGTCCGATTTGAGTTCCAGACACTCGACGACCAAACACCGCTGTTCGCGGGTTTAAGATGGCTGCCGCCACGTGTTCAGCTGCTGAAATGGCGGCCACCCAGGGAATACAGCAGAGCATTCATGTGTTTTAACAAGGGGAATATAACGAGCATACAGGGAGGTAAATTACAGCCACCCTTCACATCAGGGTGATCCGTTTGTTCGGTACTTTAGTTCGGATGGTGAATACAGCAGTTCACATGCAGATTTGTACAGCTTTTTACCGAACAACTTGATGAATTTTGGTATGGCCACATATAGTTACAGGAAAATCTTTATAATACGTTCACAGGAAAACTTTTAGGTTTCAACAGTAACATTATGAAGGGAATGTATTGGACAGCCAAATGGGTTCTGCTACAGCGCTCTCAGTATAAATCCAGAAGGGAAGATAGGGAAAGCCAGGGAGAGTGAAATAGTCTTTAGGGAATAGTTTTACAAGGCATGTACTGCCACCAACATCAAAACAACTTTAGCTTAATGAAGCAGTTTTGGTATATAGTTCGTACCGTGTTTTCCCGAAAATAAGCCCTAGCTGGATTATCGGAGTGGGCTGCAATATAAGCCCTACCCCGAAAATAAGACCTAGGCAGGACCGGCGGCTGCCGGCCCTTTAAATGCCACAGCCGACTGAGCGCTCTATAGAGAGCGCTCAGACGGCTGCCGCACTGCCTCACCTCCTCTTCCCTGTAGTGTGGCCGAGCTCCTCTCCGGTCCGCGACCCGGACGGACTAACAGGAAGTGCACACTGGGTCAGTCCGGCCGGGTCGCAGACCGGAGAGGAGCTCGGCCACGCTACAGGGAAGAGCAGGTGAGGAGAAGATTGGAGGGGGGGGAGGGAGAATATTACAGGGAGGGAGGGAGAGGGGAGAGTATTACAGGGAGGGAGGAGAGTATTACAGGGAGGGAGGGAGGGAGGGGGGAGAATATTACAGGGAGGGAGGGGAGACAGGGAGGGGGGAGAGTATTACAGGGAGGGGGGTAATATTACAGGGAGGGAGAGTATTACAGGGAGGGAGGGGAGAATATTACAGGGAGGGGGAGGTGAGGGTCTCTGGGGGGGTTACACAGCGCAGACACCGGTTGACAGACTGGCTCTAAGCTCTACCCTGAAAATAAGCCCTAGTGTGTTTTTTGTGACTAAAATTAATATGACCCGGTCTTATTTTCGGAGAAACACGGTATCCCTGCTGTGTTACTGTTCAATTCTCTGCTATTTAAAAGTTAAATCATTTTGTTTCTGTTTATGCAGTCCTAGCCACACCGCCCCTGGTTCTGACTCACACAGCCTGCATGAAAAAATTGTTTCATTTTCAATCAGATGTAACTTACTTTAAAACTTGTTATCTCCTGCTCTGTAAATGAGACCCTGCAGGGTCTAGAAGGCTATTAACAGAGCAGGAGATAAGAAATTCTAAATGAAACAGAAATTTAAACATTATATCTCTCTTTACAAGAAGTATTTAAGAAGGCTGTGTGTAGCGGAGGCCTAGTATTCCACAGGTTAACTCCACTAAAGATCCCAGTGAGGCTCAGGAACAAGTAGTAAAAATACCATAAAGTAATAATTCCAGCAAACAAGGTAATCCACGAATATCCCCATACAGATCCCAATGACTGGACGACACACAGCATCAGGAGCAGAACTGACTTTTAATCAATACAACCTCCTTATAAAGCATTCTCCCATGCAAGGAAGGGATTCATCATAATTAGGACAGTAACCAATAATGTCACAGTTACCTCCCACACATCTCCTCCCCTCACTGTGACACATAATCCCATTATATCTGCTGTAATTTTCCCCGAGTTCTGGATGTACCCCAAAACAGTTAGGTACAAGGGGCTAAGTGGCACCCCCTGGTAGCCCTGATCTGGGTGACCAACATATCAAAATTGTAGCGGAGAGGTAGTATAATCCACAGTATCTCCGCTGGGTAACAGGAACAGCATAAAATAATCCAGGTAAATAAATACAGCATACAATAATCCCGGTAGCATTGTAAGAATCCTTCCCTTCCAAGAACTAGACGACACATAGGCTGGGAGTCAACTGAGGTTTTATTCACAGGTCATTGTATTTATTGGATTCCCCATGCAAGGGGTTTCCTTACTGACATTACAGGGGTTGTACAGTAGGGGACTACATGGGGGACTTAACAACCTGGACATTTCTCCCATCATGCACTGCTGGACGAGAGGGATACTCCCACTAGAATATACAGTTAAGTGGATTATCCCTCCGTGCAGCAGAACCAATATTTCACATTAAAATACATAACTTTCACATTATTCGCTCTATTTAAACGAATGGACGTTCGGTAGATAGCTGGGGTCTGAGCGCACAGTTCTTGAGAATACCGCTCAGATCCCAGCATAACTAACCGAACGCCGCACAAAATACACATTATTTTCTAGTTGCCTTTAAAATACCGATTGACTGTAGGAGAATAAACTACCAAATGACCGGGGCTCCCGAACGGCCTGGAAGTCCAGCAGTATTCGAGTCGTCGAATAGCCGGTTTTAGTTCCAGGTGCTCAACGACCAAATACCGCTGGGCTAACAAAGGAGCCAAGATGGCCGACCGCCGCGTGGTCGGTAGCCGAACGACAGCCACCTAGGAAAGCACTTAACTATCGATTGCAACAATGTTGCAATCGGTTAATGGGCGCCACACGACCTCCTGTGTGTGGTTTCCCATTCGGTAGTTTATTCGTTTCACGAACAGTGTTGAAATTCACTGTTCGTGAAACTACTGTATGAATGCTGGTGGTTTTCATGCCGCCAGCATACGAATGCTCTTGTTCGCCTGAAATACAGATACCTGAATACACTTGGTTCTAACAACCTTAAAGCTATAGAAACACATTTATGCAAATACAGTCATAAGTGGCTAGTTTTG